AAGATGTTCGCTATCCCCAGCAGATCATACTAATTCATTTTATACATGTCCTAAATTGTATCCATTCTGGTCTTCTTTTTTTGCTACATTGTCAAAGGCTCTTAATGTTTCTGCGAAACCCTGCCCAATAATTGCAATTTTTGGAGTACCCCCTACTGATGGCATGTACAACAAGCGTCATGCTGATATTATTGCTTTTGCTTCATTGTTAGCCAAAAGACGAATACTGTTACACTGGAAATCCTCATGTCCCCCTCCTAATTTTTCTTGGTTGAAGGACCTAATGTCCTTTCTACATCTGGAAAAAATTAAATACTCCATTAGAGAAAAAAAAAATTTAAAAAAATAAAAAGAATTATTAATGTTGGCAACAGTTGTGCTGCCAAAATATTTTTTGGGAAACTGCGATACTTTTTTTCAAGATTCTTTGATGAATAAATAGTTAAAAAGAACAGCATTTATTAAAAAAATAAATCTTTTCTAACTATATAAATGTTTGCTATCACTTCTTAAAATGTAAAAAAAATAAATAAAATTCTTAACCATTTTTTTACATTTCTTTCTAAAAAAAAGAAAGAATAAAAATGTACTGACCCCAAACTTTTGATCTAAAATGTTATTTTACATCATAATAATGTTTCACAATATTACATTTTTTCCTGTATTTTTGATCGAATAAATGCAGCCTTGATGAGCATAAGAAACTCCTGTAAAAAACATAAAAAATCGTTCTGATCCCAAACTTTTGACTGGTAGTGTATAGCACACGTATGTTTTTCAATATATATATATTATATATAAGTTATAAAATAAAAAATGTATTGTATTTATATTGTAACATACTAATATAAAATACAATATAAATTAAACATTTATATTTTTTAACATTTATAATAATTTATAATTATATACATTATATACATATATACACACACAATATAATAATATTGATAGAATGATGAATAAATAACATGAAAGTGACCATTTAGCCATTTCTAAAACTAACAGTTAAAATTGTGCACCATGACTCAAGAATTAATTGGTTGAAATTATGGTTTTTGACTGTGAAAAAAGTAAATTTTTGAGCAAATACATACATCGAGATATGTATCCAATATCATCAAAAGACTAAAAAATATTAAGATATATATTACCCAGCCCTAATGCTGACCTACAAACAATACGCACAAGCCGAAGAGTCAACAGAGGATTATCGTTACAGCCTTATCTGATCTTCTGTATTATAATACAATGCTTTTAAATTTCAAACCCACACGGGTTCATCAAACAGCAGCCAATTAAACTCTCACTGCTGTTTTGTTCATGTCCACATGACAGCATGCACTTGACATTTTATTAAACAATGAAATACATTACAGCTATCTCCCCATTCAAACTTAGGATACGCCACAAAGAAAAGCGGCACTGACAATGTGAAGTGGGAGTTTTGATGAGTTAGTCAGGAGGTAAAAACAAGTTCAGGTCTGACCCAATGCATTTGTTATTATTCGTAGACAAAAGGCAAAAAATAAAATAACTAATTACTTGGCCAGCTGTTGCAGCAGACCGACCAGAGCTCTCGCCCCGCTCCGCTGCAGCTCGTCCAGCTTCAGGTCTTCATAGAGCAGATGCAGAACATAGCAGAGCACCGGGATGTGTGGAAAGAGCAGGGCAGACGACTCTAAACCCAGAACAGACTCGTGGTTATCCACTCCACCGGGGGGCGACACCGGCTCCAGGCCCTGAACAGCCACCGCAGGGCGCATGTAAACCTGCCAATGGTAGTCGGAGCATCGGAGGTATCCCCAATCCTGTTGATGTCATACAGATGTAGCCATAAATAAACCTTGAAAACATCCACAACAGGAACCCAGCAAGGACTTTTATACATAAGTTATACACTATATACACTACTATACAAAAGTTTGGGGTCATTAAGATTATATAACACTTTTAAAGTCTCTTAAGATCACCAAGGTTGAATTTATTTGGTTAAATATACAGTAAAAACAGTAAACAGTAACATTTCTTATAGGGATGTTCATATTAATCGTTTAACCGTTAACCGAAAGTAAAAAAATTGACCGATTAATACTATCAGCTTAAATTTTTTTTATTTTTTTTATTTATTTTTTTTTAAGTATCCCCCCGCCGAATATTTCAAGTAAGTTTGCTGCATGGTGAAAGAAAAATATGCTATACATATTTGTTTACCCCACGGGGAAAAATCAACCCAGGGAATCTGTTTAAAAGTAGCCAGATTTCGTAGAAAAAACGCGGACTTTGCAACCCTGCATCCAACACGAGCTTGACTGATCACGGGTCGAGAGTAGGATAGATGACTGACAGACCATGCTGGAGTATTTGCTGCTCAGCAGATCCTGAACTCACTGACAAATATCGGATCTTGTAAGATTAGATGTGCTCCTTTACACAGAGTGCGCGTGAACACGAACACAGAGTGCGCGTGAACGCGAAATCGAAAGTGAAAGTGAACAGCGAGCCCATTCAAAAGCGATTTCAATACCCTCATATTGATAGCGCAAAAATTATAAACAATATAAGAATGTTTGCGGGAGCGGGCACAAAAATCGCGGGAGTGGAACACACACGTTGCGGGAGCAGGCGGTAATGGTCAGAAATTCAGCGGGAGCAGCATTACGAAACAGTTCCGCGCAGAGCTCTACTCCAGACTATCCGCACAGCACACCGACATTTTAAAAAATAAAAACTAGACACATTGTGCACACTGAGGTAGGCCTGCTATTTATTTTTATGTCTGACGAAAAAAAAAAGACTCTTTGAGGGGCATAGAAGGATTCAGTGTTTTCGTTTTGTCATCTTAATGTTAATTATTTAGTTGAAAAATATTTAGTGTATGCCTATTTATTTTATTCTTTTTATTTGTTATTTTAATCTGTTTTTCTCTGTTCTCAGAAGCGCCGCAGGTTGCGTAATAATTTGACGATGTGTGAATCCAGGTTCTGTTGTTGCTCTGTTGTTCTGCATGCTCCTGTTTGCACGTTAAAATAAACCCGTGAAAAACATTTTTTGTATTTTTAATGGGTCACAGACACTCATCCGTTCTATTTTTATTTAACACTAATTTATTATTCTAATCTTATCAGTTAACGGTTAATGTCCGGATAACAAGTAACGGTTGTCGGTCGGGAAAATTGACCGAAATGAACATCCCTATTTCTTATTATTACAATGTTGAAAACAGTTGCGCTGCTTCATATTTTTGTGGAAACAATGTTATATTTTATTCAGGATTCTAAGATGAATAGAAAGTTAACTTGAATCTTTTGTAACATTTTAAATGTCTTTACTGTCACTTTTGATCAATTTAATGCATCTTTGCTGAATAAAAGTATTAATTTCTTTAAAATAAAACTTCCTGACCCTAAAATTTTGAATGGAAGTGTATACAGTAAGCTTTATTAGGTTTTCTGTAAAAAATCAAACGCAAGTTAACATTTTACGCTGCAGTTCAAGCTGGTAGGCTACAGATGATCAGATGACAGGAGAGTTTAGATGATCAAGGGTCTTTGACATGTCTAGGGACACTCACCTCATCTGAACCTGTGTCAGCAGGTCGGGCTTTCTTCGGGGCTATTACTGGAGAGAGTGGCACTTCAAAATGAAGCTGTGGAGATGACAATTGTGTTAATGATCAATGAAGACGGACAAGTGCTTCATTCACTAATTGCAAACTTCCCTGTCAGCCATAAGTCATCTTATAATACAATTTTGTCCAGTGTTTTGTTATAATATTTTTTTTGCAAAATTAATAGTGCTGTTTTAATAAAGTCTTTTGTTTTGATAAATGTTTAAATAAAGTATTTTTGCTTGTATAAATAAATAAATAAAAATAAATATTTACCTTTTCACTGATTTATTAAACTATACTATATAACATATGCAAGCAAATAAGATCTACAACATTTCTGATTTAAATAAAATCACAACAAAATATTTTAAATCAGAAATTAATTGTACTGGGCAAATATGGTTAGAAAAATTTTATTTGTAGAAAAAAGTTTTAATGTGTATTAAATTGATCTAATTGATTTTAAAACAATTATGTATACTATAGTGTTTTGTTTTAATGTTAATGTTTAATGTTTGTTTTAATGTTAATGTTTTAATATAGTGTTTTGTTTTAAAGTTTCTTTTTTTTCTAAATAAATAACATTTTGTTTTACTAAAGACTTTTGTTTTGTTAAATAAATAAAGATTTAATTTCACTGATTTATTAAACTAAATTATATTAAAAATCATGCAAGACCTAAACATTAAAATGACCACAAAAAAAAATTTTAATCAAAAATTAATTGTACTGGGCAAATATGTATTATATCAATAATTACAATTTAATTTGTAGAAAAAAGTTTTAATGTGTATTAAATTGATCTAATTGATTTTAAAACAATATATTTTTTTTTTTTCCAAGTCATGTAAAGTTTTAATTCAGTGAAATGCTTGATCAATCCTAGTGAGCTAGCACAGGCTCAAGGATACCCAACACAAAGAGACACTCACATTGCGTGTCCACGTCAGTCGTTCCGTGTTGTAACCCATCATTGTCATTAGGCATGTAACAAACAGGTTCCACTCCAGGTGCATGCTGGGACCTCCAGGGGCATTGTAACTGTTGTACCACTTGACCAGCACTTTCATGGCAGTGTCCTTGGGTAAGATAAACCTGATGGCCTGCAAGCAACGCTTGACTGTGGGAGTAAAAGAAAGATTCGGCATTAATAACAGAAGTCACAATGGTAAGGAGTGAGCACTTTCTGTAACATTTTGGTCTCTAGAGAAGGCTTGAATGCCGCCTTGTGAGTCTATGTGAAATGTTTAACTCATTTCATCATTCACCAGTCAAACATCAACTAGAAAATAAAAGCAAACCTCTCTGTAAAGAGCTGAACGATTGGAGGAATCATGCATGTCGGGTGCACAAATATTTATGTATAACTATAAGAATTTGTTTGTTTTTTTTAGAATTTTGAGTTCATAATACGTAATTCTGACTTTATTTCTCACGATTTCAAGTTAAAATCTCAAAGTTTTAAGTTAAAAACCTCTCAAATCTGAATTTATTTATTGCAATTCCAAGTTCATATCTCACAATTTTGAGTAAACTTGCAATTCAGACCTTTTGAGTTCTGAGTTTATAATACACAATTTTGACATTATTTCTTGCAATTTCCAGTTTGTATCTCACAATTTCAAAATAAAATCTCATAATTTTGAGTTAAAAACTCAATTCTGAATTTATTTGTTGCGATTTCAAATTAATATCCCACAATTTTGAGCTGTGATCTCACAATTCAGATTTTTTTCCTCAGAATTGTTAGTTTATAATATAGAATTCTGACCATTTTTTTTAAATCTCACAATTTTGAATGAAGTACAGACTCTTGAATTCTTTTGAGGGGCACCTAATTTTGTGGTTAAAATGATCTGTCTGTATCATAAAATGAGTATTTCGTTCAAGAAGCATTTTGGTACATTTTCTTTCATATTCATAGTGAACCACAAAATCACATTACATTCATAAAATGACATGCCAAAGTTTAATACTTGTTCAAATGGCTAAACTCAAGCATAAGCAATCATAATAATGATGCATGCCTTAGCAAACCCCACTAATACATGTTATTTACTCAGCTGTCACCACTGATCTCTGATGAATTAATACCATATTATTAGATTAACATTAAACATAACATCATTTTTAGCTCGTATCTCCCACCCCGTGTGTAGATGAAAAATAAAAGTGTAGGTGAAGATAATCCGCTGCACTTCCGCGTGCGTCACTTCTGAGCGGCGCATGCGCAGCGCTGACCTCATACGTCATTCTACCGGAGCTGCTTCTGTGTACAACAGTGAGCGCAAGCTAGATTCAAGTGATTATTACGTTTTGAATATGGATATTTTTCTTACAAAAACGCATTGATTCGCTACAGGAGGCCTTTGTTCACCCCCCGGAGCCGTGTGAGACACTTTTTTTATGGATGGGCGCTTTTTATTTCACTTCATTTGGACTGAAGCACTACAACACCCGCTGACTGCAATGATAGAGCTTGGAATAGCCAGGACAATTTTTAACATAACTCCGACTGGATTCGTCTGAAAGAAGAAAGTCATATACACCTAGGATGCCTTGAAGGGGAGTAAAACACTGCCTAATTTTCATTTTTGGGTGAACTAACCCTTTAAGTGTGAGGGTTTCACAGGGAAAAAATGTTATGGTGTTTCACCAAGACATGCATGAATATTAATATTATAGCTTGGTTTAGTAATTTAAACAAACCCCTATTCCAAAGTATTAAAATTCAGCATGTAATATCCCACATGCTTTTGCTACGGACATGAACAATAACCTGAAATCGCACAGCTTGTTGAGGAGAGACACAAGTCACATCTCAGAGTTCAGTGATGCATTTCAGAGCCACTTTGCAATTTCATAAATTTGCCTCATAAAATGCTAAAGAATTCATTCATCCTGCTTTCTCACTAGTTCTAGAGAAATCAGAGTAAATATCAGCAACCACATTCAACAATAGAGTACTGTAACTACATTTAGAGTATGAAATCTTCACTGAATAGAGCATAACACCAGTAAAAAGTGTAAAAGCAGCTTTTGTCCACAACTAAACGTGAATCAGGGATATCTAAAATGGCATTTTCCACTTCTTTTATTTTATCTGTTATCGTTCAGCGTCACACCACCACACTCTCAATGACTCTGCCTGAAACTTAATTAGCAAACAAACACAGAAAGGTCATGATGGAGCTGAATAAAATGCCACTTTATTAGCAGTACAAAGCCCACCACTTTCAAACTAAAGCACTTATTAACAGGAAGCTGGCATTAATTGAGAAAGAATGCCGGATGGGCAGATGTCGCACGCAATCAGTTCAAAACTAAAGGCCAAGAAAAGCTAAACAAATCCGCCACAGGGAAATCTGCACCCACAGTTGGGATGCGACCAGTGTTTGTACATTCAAAAGTCATCGTTATGATGCTAGCATGCTCTGGGTGCTAGGTGGTAAAAATTGAAATGGTACAAATCAATAGCAAAAGTAATAGCAAACAGCTCTAATGACATAAACAGACCCAAAGCATGTATCATCAACACTTCCTGGAATATTAATAGCAAACACATTAGAAAAGGTCAAATGTATAAGTGCAGAAAGTGGCAGGAATGACTCACAGTTTTACTTCACAGTAAAGCATAATTGCATTCATTAGTGACAGATCCTTGGGCACATCATTTATGCCAAATAAATCAGGATCTGAGCTTTACAAAATAACTACAAAACAGCACTGTTAAGTCTCACAGGAGTGCGGGTTGAAAAACGGCAGTGTTAACATTGCCAAAGGTTTTGAAGACAAGACGAAATATGTACTCACCCTCAGGCCAGCCAAGATGTAAATAAGTTTGTTTCTTCATCAAGAACAGATTTGGAGAAATGTAGCATTCCATCACTTGCTCACCAATGGATCCTCTGCAGTGAATGGGTGCCGTCAGAATGAGAGTCCAAACAGCTGATAAAAACATCACAGTAATCCACAAGTAATCCACACCACTCCAGTCCATCAGTTAACATCTTGTGAATTGACAAGTATAACGTACTCCTATACTGGCCAAAAATGATGGTTTAAAGTCAAAATGTCTTAATGATGGATTTGTTTCTTACAAACACGCAGCTTTTCACTTCACAAGACATTAATTGATGGACTGGAGTGGTGAGGATTACTTGTGGATTATTGTGATGTTTTTATCAGCTGTTTGGACTCTCATTCTGACGGCACCCATTCACTGCAGAGGATCCATTGGTGAGCAAGTGATGCAATGCAACATTTCTCCAAATCTGATGAAGAAACAAACTCATCTACATCATGGATGGCCTGAGACTGAGGCAAATTTTAATTTTGGGGTGAACTATTACTTTCAAATTTTAAATTCCTTTTAATTTTAATTTAATACCCCTTTATTATACCATTGACGAAAAAATTATATTGCAATAACGCACCAACAAATTTTTTATAGAAAATAATAATCCAATAATAGTTTAAAATGAAGTAATCTGACATTCAAAATACTCAATAATACTTTACATAATAAGGTCTAATTAATTAATGTTAGATAATGCATTAGCTTACATAAACTGACAATGAGCAGTATCTTTTTAAAGCATCATTGTTAAATGTTACTTAAAATAAATACAATTATTTATTGATTGTTCATTTTAGCTCAAAGTGCATTAACTACAATTAATTGACTACTGACATTATGCTTATATTTATTTAGCAGTTTAAAATGTAATGATGTTATTTATTGGTTTATTGTTTTGAAGTGTATTAGTAATATTAAAAATTAACATTAAGATTAAAAATTGCTGTAGCAGTATATCCTGTTAACCAATGTTAACAAACAAAACCAAAATAGTGACTATATGTAGAGGATATTTTCATGAAAAGACTAAAACAAAAAATTTAAACTAAAAACTGACATCAGGAGGACATGAAATGAGTGTTTTGACAAGCTTTCCAAACTCACAAACAGCTTGTGACTCAGCTCTGTGCTGCATTGGAAGTGATGCATCACGCGGTTGGACTGTATTTAAGCGACTGTTTTCTCTTACCCAGCTCTGAAGTAGCCAACTCGGGAATGGTGATTCTTAACATGGAACCGGAGCTCAATTCCTGAACAAAAGAAAAGTGAGAGGCGGATATTAGCGCCACATCCTTAATTAGCTGCGCCATCAAAAAAGAGTCCGAACCAGCAGGCGTCACGTTGCTATTTATATCTGCTCGAATTCTGTCAAAAGCAACCAGCTATTGTTGCTCCCTTTGCTGAAATAAACTGAAAACAAAAGAACAATTGCATGCAGCAAAATTCCAGCAGGCATTCGACAAAACCAACCTTAGACACTGGCTATTTTTAAAAGCCTGTCTCAGAAGCATGTAGCGTCTGCGTAGAATCATGCATGATCTTTGGGGTTTTATGGCTTAAGAGACCCTTTTAGCCTTTGACATTTGCATATAAATTACAGTCCTGGTCACAGACTAAATATTTCCCTTTTGAGCTGATTTACTACAAGCATATCATCCCACATATGTTGGTTGTGGCGAGATTGCTTTGACAGGCCTGCGAGGGGATTTCTTCTGGTAGGACATGTCGTTCAGTGGGAAATGACAACGCAGAGGAGCTGACTGCAGGGGACCAGACCTTATTGAGTCTTGTCGAAACAGTGACGGGCTCCTGGTGCACATGTCTGAGCCGCCACACCATGTCGGTCATGTCCTGTTACTGTGGCAGCCCTCAATTACAGCCGTGCACTGTACGACAAAAGCAATTACCGGCTCCTGCCTTTAGCAGCAGTAGTCAGCACAAACACAAACGCAAGCATCTTGACCCTGTTTGACATTTTGAAAATGCATTTAGAAAGCAGCTGTATGTCCAGACAGTGATGTATCAAGTGAACCAGGTGGATTCATCTGAATTATATGTGGCCATTTTGAGATCTACTGGCATTGGACGAAAAACCGAGCCCACTTGGCTGACTAACAAAAGACTAATTCTTCCAAAATATACCAGGGCTCCAGACTAACATTTGAGAGCAGTGGCACCAGTGCCACTAAGTTACAGATGGTGGCGCCAGGAGCAGATTTGGTAGCGCTAGGGGTGGTGTGCGGGAGTATTAAAATATAGATAATTTAATCATAAAATTACTATTGTTTTGCATTAATAAGTGCAGTTACTAATAATATTACGTTCATTTCTTGTTTATTTTTCTTTTGTTTATTGTTTGTACAGATTTGACAGTAAAGTACTAAGCTTGAGTTAAGATGCATACAAAATTTACTTTTATTAACAACAGTAACAGGTGCAAAATATAATTTTTATATAGAAAACTTATATATTTCACTCTTATTAAATGTACCATTATTCTTCTAGTATATGGAACTGACCAGCTTCAGTGATTATGTGTGATTTAGTAGCAAATTTAAGAAAAATTTGTTTTTCATGGCACTTTGTGACTTTTCTTCATACACAAAAAAAGTGTAGAATTCTGACAAAATCTGATTTCTTGATGATTTGATATTTTATAATAGTGATTTTATCATTTCAAAATATAGAGAAAAAGTAGAAATGAATGGCTAATAAGCCAATAAGTGCTCCTCTGCTGCTGTCTACTGGTTATAATTGTGATTTGATGTATTTTTTACATTTTACATAAGTGTTTGTTTACCACAAAGTATATTTTGGTCATCCCATTAAAAATAACATTCAAACTGGATCATTTTAGAGATTGAAAGTGCTAGAAATAGTGTGACTGTGCAGAATTTGAATGATTCTCACTAGATCTCGCAGCATCCTTATCATTGTGCGGCGAATTCAAACACTTCTCACTGGATCTCGCAGCATTGTTGCATCTGTGCAGTAAGAGTGTCGCGAAAAAAACTTTGGCTCCCGAGTAAAGCTGTTCTGAGCTCGGACAAGTTTGTCTGCATCTTTGTCTGCGCTGCGCAGCTGAAACGTAGCGAGGTTTAGTTTCGCTTTAGTTTCGTTTGCCGTATGATGTTTCTCAAATGCAAAAGAAATGGTAGCGCTTATGAGTTGGACAACACGGTGGTCGCGCCAGTGCGACCCCTCACAAAAATTAGTCGCACCGGCAGAAAAAGTGGCTGTAAAATGCGACCATTTGGTCGCAGTCTGGAGCCCTGTATACTGACAGATATTCAATGAACAAATGGTTCACCTCATTTGTTATCAGTGAATAAAATGTCTATGAAAAAACTATGAAAAAAAGGCAGCTGTGGTTGCCAAAACTTGACCATAAAAAAAACTGCAGCAACATTTGATGTATATAATGATAAGATAACATACCAACCTGCTGAAGTATTAAAATCTGTTTTGTACATTTATAATACACTGACAAACACCAAAAAACACAGGTGGTAATGAGAAAACCACATGATGAACGTAATGCACTCAAATAGGGATGCACGATATTGGATTTTGCCAATATCCGATATGCCGATATTTTTCAACTAATTTTGGCCAATAGCTGATGCTGATACCAATATATTTCCTTTTGTTTGGAAAAAACACCAAGTCTCTCCTGTGCACAAATTAAAAGCAAATTATTTTTAATTTTGGTTAGTTTTTAACAAGAACATATTTGTTAGAATTAAATAAACAACAATGCAGTTCTTTTATAATGACAGTACATTGAAGATTTTAAAATAACTAAACTATATTCAATTGCTGCATTTTTTTTTTTTTTCAGAGAGATGCAGTGGTAACCTTAACATTTTATTTTAAGATTTATCATTTGTAAATTGTCTAAAGCAAGAGTTGTACAAATTCTGAAAATTCTTTTAGAGCTCATAATTGGTTTCAAAATATAACATATTACACATTAATGAATAAATCAGTAAATATACAATTATTTAAGTGACATGTTTGTGTGGGGTTTTTTGTTGTTGTTGTTCATGTAAGCTATAGCTTCTGAACTTTAAATCAAAACATACTCATGATTTTATGGCATCAATTACTGCGTTATTTAATCAGAAACACAGTCTAAATATTATATGTGTATTTTGCTTTCATTTTATTAGAAGTAGGCCAACAGCGCCCACTACGGAATTAAAACTCCTTACTGAGCGGGCATTAGGAACCGGGGGAGGCTGCCGCTGCACGTGCTATTACCGTTTACTCTATCATGCACCGAACACATAATTCTGTACATGCATATTCTCAGTTTAAAGTGACGTGACATGTGGCCAAGTATGGTGACCCATACTCGGAATTAGTGCTCTGCATTTACCCATCCAAAGTGCACACACACAGCAGTGA